CAGCAGGAAAGAGCTGGGGACAGATCCTGCCTTTGGGGGTGCCTTGCCCCCAGGAAGCTGTCCTTTAGGGGTCACGGTCCGTGCTGCAGCCTGCCTTGTCTGGGGAGGATGTCCTGGCTTGGGATCAGGGCCACCCGATCTGGGGGGCAGCTTTTTGGGTTCATCCTTCTTGGGCTGTGTCAGGCCTCCTGCCTGCCCGGTGCCTCCCTTTGCCCTGGCATTGGTGGCCCCCCCACCATAGCTGTGACCCCCTGGCCTGAAGATGTTCCTGGCCAGGGGGGGCCTCTCCTTGGCTTCTGCTTTGGTCAATGCTGGCCTGGCCCCCTGGGGTCTCTGGCCCAAGTCAGGGGCACCCAACACAGTGCTGATGAATTTCAGGTCCAGCCAAGTCAGGTGCCAAAGCAAGAAAGTGAGGAGTTTGGGGAGTCTCATCCTCTGGTCAGCCGCTGAATGACACCAGAGAGAACAGCAGCAGCGAAGGTGCCTCTGGTTTGGCAGGAAAAACCATGAAAGGAGAGGACTTTCAAAAGCAGTGGCAGCAGCAGCAGGAAGGGCTTTCTCCTCAGTCTGAAGCTCGTACAGTCTGCCGGGCGTGCGTTTGTATCCAGTCCCATAGTGGAAATGCTCTCGGATCCAGACGTGCACCGTCTCCAGTCAGCAGCTGAAAATAACTCGTTCTTGAAAGGAGAAAGCCGACCGCCCCCTTTCTCCTGCACAACTGACTGAGGGCTTGAAGGAGGCTTGTATAAGGCTGAGGGATTTTTCCAAGAAGGAAGAATGGCGTAATGCTGCCTGTGTGCTCCAGTTTTTTTTTTCCCCCTAAGTTTTGAATCCTTTCCAGTGAAAACACTACACACACACACACACACACCCACACACACACACACACAAGCCTGCAGGTGCTCAGAAAAATCTTTTACAAACCTGAACTCAGGAATTGGAAACGGAATTCCAACCCAAACCAATTTAATTACTCTCTGATGTCATGCTGTCTAAACTCATTTAAGTGCGATATATTTATGTGAAAAAAATTACCGCTGCCCTTTTGAGGCCATGGCTCACGGGGGCTCTTGGCACAGAGCCCCGCGGCAGGACTCTAGGCTTAGGGGGCCTCCCAGTCCAAGGAGCAGACTCAGGGGTCCCCAACTCCACCTCACAGTGCAGCCTGCCCACCTTCCTGAGGAGAGATGCAGAGGAATGAGCTCAAAGATCTTAAGCCCTGAAGCATGGGGAGTGTGGGTTTTCAGTTAAGTCCTTGGAGTGTTTTTAAAGCAGTTTCAACTCCGTCTAGTCTGGGACCCGATTTGGGGTGTGTGTGTGTGTGTGTGTGTGTGTGTGTGTGTGTGTAGGGGGTACAGCATGGATGGCAGCATTTACTCACAGTTTCTTCTATTTTAATGAACTTGTGGTAACCCAGAGAGAAAAAAAAGCAGTGGCCACTACACTCCTCCCTCCCCCCAAATGCCATCAACTGAGCTACTCAGATGGTTTCTTCAGGTTTGGGAGGCACACCATTCTGGAAACACTCCTTGAATGAAGGCAGGCCCAGGGTGTACCCCACCACCGCCCCAGCAGAAACATCCTCGGAGTTTTCTTAGAACGGACTAGTCAATTTGGAGGCGGCAGCCCCAGCCTGGGGCAGCAGCGGCCCCTGCAGGAGGCTGGAAAAGCAATTTCCCACACTATTCTGATCACTTGAAGAGTCTGAATTCCAGCTGAATTCAAGAGTGCAAAGTGCCTCATTGAAGTTCCGGAAACTCCCTTCCTTTGGGAGCTCCTGGGCAACTTACCTCCGGGTCACAGGGGAAAGCTGTTTCCTTCAGCA